GATTTGAAACAACATAGACACAAAATTAGATATATAAAATCGCCTTTTAATACAATATACTTTGGAACTATCGCAAATCAAACAATTCGATTTTTAGTGCAAATCGATTAATATCGGTTGAAGTCTTATTTTTACTTATTGCCTAAAGCCACAAATTCCGATATAGTTAAATATATAAACAAGGCCTTTTCCAAAAGTTTACGCAACTTACAACTATTGCTAATCAAACAGTTCGATTCTTATTACAAATCGATAATTATCGATTTATCTTGGGAATTTAAAGGGCTATAGCCAAAGTGCTCTTCCAATTATGTATATACCATATCCTACAATTATAATTATATATACTTCACTGAAAGATATCGAAAAGTAATGTTTACTACAAATCGATAAATATCGATTGACAAGCATGATTTTGCGCTATTGGTAGCTTTTAAATGAACTGATTCAAAGTTCGCTTAGAACTTTATTGCTGAGAATTTTCGTTGCTATCTTATTAGCCGCCCTCTCTCCCTCACTCCCCCTCTCTCTCTGTCTCTCTCTCTCTCTTTCCGCTGTTATCTCTGACTCGTTCTCTTTTTCCTTGCTTACTTCTAGTTGTTCTTTAACTCTCTGCCTAACCCACATTTAGTTGGTTTTACCGAAACGTCGTCGCTCGTAGCTCGTCGCCTATCTCCCGGATCAGTCTAAATGTTTTTATGTAAACACGACGGACTCAGAGCAGCGTTCCATTCCGCATTCCCATTCCGCACTCCCCAACTACAGTGCGCTGTAATTGTGTGCGGCTTTGTTAGCGTTGCAGCTTTTGCACTTTACTTTTGCACTTCCTTCCTAGCGCTTTGTTTTTCGCCCAGCGAGCAGAATAACTGTACAGCGGACACCGTCTCCGGAACAGGGTGAACTGAGCTGTCTGACTGCCTGACGGACGGCTCGGCATTGCCCTGCTGCGGCGGTTCCTTGGGGTCGGAGTGGGTCGCTTAGATGTTGGCTTGAATGGCGGACAGCTTTAGCCCGACGCTGCCATTCATAGTGTGCGTGTGTGTGTGTGTGTGTGTGTGTGTGTGTGTGTGTGTGTGTGTGTGTGTGTGTGTTGGTGTTTTGCTGCCTTATACAATGACTTAAGCTGAAATGTCAATTGGTTGCATGGAACAAGGAACAGCTCCGGTCGGGCAACCCGGCCAGAAGCCCACGAAAAACGAAAATGATGAAAATACACCCCAGGGTAAATGGCCAAACGTAACGGCCGGACCCGGACCCGGACCCGGACTGGGAGGCATTGCCAAAGATATGGCCACACTGCAAAAGTGCTTATGACAGCAACAGAGCCGCAGCCCAGCCCCGCATGCCGGCGCACCATTGAAAGCACAGCCAAATCCTTTCTCCGGCTAATAGAATTCAAACGCATGAAGCCTCTGAATAGGTTCGTTGTCGAAAGGCGACGCATTGAAGTCAAGCAAATGCCCATTTGCTGCTGCCATGGAACCGGCAACGTCTCCAGCAACAGCTCCAGCTCCAGCTCCAGCTCCAACTCCGGCACAGGCTACAGTAAGGCCTGGGGCTGCGTGTGGGTCGGGGCTGGGGCCGGGGTCGGGCGAAAACAGAAAAGTGAAAGTACGTGACATAACGCTGCATTGTGTGTTTCTAGCGCGAGGGCTGCCAAATGAATTTCAATTTCAAGATTTTCCCCTGCGCCAGCAATGCTCCTTTTTGGGGCAATAATTCAGACCCATTAGACCCAAGCGTGTTTTAAAATAGCATAAATAATATTGGAAGCGATGCTTGTTATTCGATTATTGATAAGCAGAATGTACATATCATTGGATGCAGTGCTCGGCAAAGGCGTTGTCTAAGTGAGTCCAATGAGGAACGGATTTCGAATCCCATCTTTCGTATATATAGAGATAATATATCTCCGATATACTAGCTTAAAAGTTTCTGATTACTTAACGAGCCAACCTCTTGCTAGGCGCCCATTACCTTTATCGCCAAGTCGGCGATGACTTTGACATGCTCAGCGCTGGACCTGGACCTGGACCTGAAGGCTGGTCGCTGGTCGCTGGCAGGCGGGGCTTTGGGCGGCCGTCTATGTCAGGAACGCTGTAGTTTGTTTCGTAAGTTTTTGCAAAAACCATTAACGACGCACCGTGGCTACTTTTTCGGGCCCGGACAGTTGGGTTTTTTTTTTGCTTTCGGTTTGGGCCGCAGCTTCTTCGCTTAAATTGAAAAGAAAAAAGTGAAAAGCTGTAAACTTTTAAAAGTTTCAATCTTTGTTGGTGCACAGCAGCCCCCGCCCCTTGAAAAGTTGGCCACTTTGGGGCCAAGCAGCTGAAGGCCGCTGCTCATTTGGTCAGCTTACAGGGGGAAGGGGGAGGGGGAGGGGCAGCTTGTGGAATTAGGTGGTAGCTTTTGTAGATGGCTTGCCCACTTCTTGACGTGACACGGCCCGAGCAAGAAATACGTTTTGTCGCTCCGGCTAATGGCTGCGTAAATGACAAAGTGAATTTTCAGTAAAAAGACAACAGCAGCACAAATTTATTTATTTCTTTATATACTATACATACATATATACACCCACACACATATACATAAATATATATATATGTATATTCTTTTAAGCCTAGAGCCGGGTGAGGAGGTCACTAATAGCATTATATACCTAATGCCGGGCACGAACCTGCCACATTAAATTAAAGCAAACGAAATAATTGAACATATAAGAGTTTGCTGTGTATACATGGACACACATTAGCTAAATGGGATCAGATGAATAGAGAGTTTCAAATAAATAGGATTTTTCAGCATACATTTTCATAAAATATTCAATGAAAGCTGAATAAGGCAGCAATAATTTTGTTCAGCTCTTTTATTTGATATATTTCGTCTTCAACTAGAGCTCACATCTAGGCAGCGTCCATCCGCTTTTGATTAAAGTTTTTAAAGTTTTTTTAAGATTTGGGGCTCCTAATAACCCAACGGCTTTATTTACAATGTTCCAGAGCAGACGTTTTTTTTTTTCTGAAAACTTTTTGACATTTTTTTGTTACCACTTTTGGTCTTTGCGAGACTATATTTGCCAAAATGCAGAACCGATTTCAAACAACTTTGCATCAGCTGTTAGATATAACAAATCAAAATTTTAGCAAATATTGCACTTTTTAGTACAAAAGTTCAGTACAAACAATTTTGCGAATATGAATGTTAGCTTTGATTAAAATAAAAGATCATAACAACTATTTTTATTCTTTTCAATAAGAATCAGATTGTCTTATATTTCTAACGAGTTCCTGACGCCTGTGCCCAGTTTTCCCCCTTTACATCTTTACAATTATTTGTATTCCTATTTATTGGCAATTCCTAAGCCAGCCAACAACTTTGAGTCAACCATAATAACTAGAATTCATACGCAATGCTGAAGCTGACCCGGCCAGGCCACGAACGCCAATGCGCCTGAATAATGCAAAACTTAAATAGCCAACCACTTCAGATGGCCACTTGACGTTCCTAGGCGAGTTGTAAGCCCAGTTGCGAACGCTTGAGAATTACTATTGGACGCCCACCAAGCAATTGTTGGGAACCGTGGGGAACCGTGGGGAACTATGTTTCGGTACGGCCCCCTTTGCCATGTATAACGCACTTTGTCTGAGTTCCCACAGCTGTCAGTGGGCCGTCGCTTAATATTGGTGCAAAAAGTATAAATGACAATAAAATTATGGATTTTGCAAACAATGATAGCAATGAAAACAACAGAGCCAACCACCAGCGGCACAGTTCCCTGAATATGATTGCGAACCCATCCATTATTTAGGCGTGCTGAATGTTACAGATAACGAAATTATATACGCTTTTTATATACAATATTTAAGCAGAACAGCTTAAAATAAGGTTATTAAGTAAATTAAGTGGGCTAGAATTGTTTTTTTTTGCCGCTTTATATAATTCTCTTAGCGATTAGAGCTGTTTTTATATTGCAAATTTATTCATATTGCAATCTTCAGCTTCTTGCATATTCGCTCTGATGGCATACATATGCATATTTATACATACTTCCCATTATTATTCATTTCCGAATGAGTTAATTCTTATTTGTACACCCTGAACCATTAAAAACAGACAGAAGGAAGCATCTGAGATCCCATATACACATATTCATGATCAACATCAATGGTCGAGTCTATCTAGCCATGTCCGTCTGTCTGTCTGTCCGTCTGTCCGTCCGTCCTTATGCATGAATGCAAGGATCTCAGAACCTATAAGAGCTATAGACTTGAAATTTTAGCTGTATGTCCTCCTAGTCCATGCGCAGATCGAGTTTGTTTCCGATTTTCGATAACTTGCCCCGTTTCCAAGTAATCGATATCGAAATCTGTTTTTTAAGCAATTTCAGCAAATAATATAGCTAGAGTCACCAAACTTGACATGTAGCTTATAGAATAGTATATATATATATATCAAGTATCTTTCATTTTATACCTATCGCCTGTTGGAATAAGAGGGTTCAGGGTATCCTGTCCGTCCGTCCGTCCGTTCGTCCTTATAAATGACAATCTCAGAACCTAAAAGAGCTAGGCATTTGAAATTTGGAACATGGGTCCTCCCAGTTACGATAATCGATAACTTGCCCCGTTTCCAAGCAAACGATACAAATCAATATTAAAATCATATTGTTTAAGCTAATCTCGTAAGTTTTAAGACCTGGAGTCAGCATATTTGACATGAAGCTTCTAGAATGTAATATACATTTCAGGTTTCTTGCATTTCTTAGCTTTCGTTCGGTTTCGGATATTCGGTTCGGTTTGAAGCCGGTTTTATAGCTTCGTACTTTTGTGTGTAAAAATTGTTTACTCTGAAGCACCAACGACTTGCAGTTCTACCTCCATCAAAGATTTGAGAAAGCTTATACTATTACAATTGCTAGAAAATATATAAATTGAATTTAAAATCAGCTGATAACAAGAAGCTTCGAGCTTCCAACTGATTGCCGCCTTTCAGTCTATTTACGTGCGTGCAGTTGAGTGCAGTTGAGATTCGCATTTCATTTTAAAATCAGAGTGCTATCAAAATGAAATGTGTTACGTTTATATATATTCTATTTATAAGCCTAACACTGATCATAGCTAAAGCAGAGTTTAACGAAAATGAGGTAAAATAAGATTGTTTATCAATGTTTGTGTGCAGTACAGAAAATAAATCGTACTTTTTTTCTTAGTCTTGCTCGGCAACCAGAATAGCAGAGGAGGAATGTGGAAAGTACACCTATAAGGCAGTGAGACCATTATTAAAGTATATACATCAGATGAAGGAGGCAATTGAAAACCATAACAATAGAATTGAAGGCAAAGATAAAGAAATCAAGCAACTGCAGGAAAAGCTGAACCAACATAATCAATTTATCATCGAGGCACTTAAAGAGCTGACGAAGAACGTTTTATCAATAAAAGAGGAAATAGGTAAACTCAATTCCAATGCCTTGAAAATCCAGGACTACGAGGAGCAGCTGGAGAAACAAAGGAAGCTAATTGATCAAAAGGACCAACAAATATCCGAAATCAAAAACGAAGTCAACATTTGTGCCAGGAAACTAAAAAGCTTCGAAGAGAAGCCCGTTTACAGTGAATGCACCGTCTTTGCTGATGCTTCGGGTATTCATGTGATTAACCCGGATCAAGAAGATCCGTTCAATGTACTTTATGATAATACGACAGCAGGTCCTGGCTGGACGGTTATCCAACAGCGAATCAATGGCAAAGAGAACTTCTATAGGGATTGGGCCACATACCGTGCCGGCTTTGGAAGCTTGGAAGGCGACTTCTTCTTAGGGCTTGATAAAATTCATCGCGTGACTAGCGCCCAACCCCATGAGCTCTACATACATATGGAAGGATTCGATGGTATCATCAAATACTACAGATATGAAGAATATGCTATCGCTGGCGAGGACGATCAATACAGACTGAACATCTCTGGTAAGGCTGTGGGCAATGCAAGAGGTGATGAGTTGAGTTACCACAACAATCAGAAATTCAGCACATACGATCGTGATAATGATAATTGGAATAGTGGCAACTGCGCAAGTAAAGATAAATATGCTGGTGGCTGGTGGTACAAACACTGTGTAGGAAGGTATGAATTGCTGGAAAAACATTTAATTTAATTTAATTGTTTTCTTCTATTTTCTAGCAATTTAAATGGCAAGTACTATAATTTTATGGTTGACAAATATGATGCCATATATTGGGATGGCTACGTCTCGTTGAAAACAGTCAAAATGCTTATACGACCCAAGAGCTATTGAAAAAGTTTTGTTTAAAAACATATACAATTCTTCGAAATATACGATAGTTTATCAAAATCAACTATTCACTTTTATATTAAATCAATGGAATCAGCGAGCTATGCCCGAGAGAAACAATATTAAAGGTCGCCTCCAGGTACGCCCCTTTTCAACTTATACTTTATACTTATGTGTAGAGTAAATGTTCTCAAAAAGGTTTGAAAATGATTTTGAAACTGATGGGATGGTCAAAAAAAAACTTTCATACAAACGATTTCCGCCAATTTACCACTGTTGCGGGTGGAATTTCCCAAATCGCTAAAACACACATTCATTATATTCTTAGAGCTTAGAGCTTTGAAAATAAGTTTGAAGCAAGTTGGACACAACTTAAAACTTCGCCCAAAAAATCTTTGAATCGCATTTCCACCGAAGAAGTTTGGATTTTGCGAAGAATGTGAAACACGTCTCAAATGATATTTCTTATAGATCTTTGGAAATCAATTTGAGGGCGTAACGTCACCCACCAAATTTTTGATCTCCATTTCCACCAAGGAGGGATGGATTTTTCGAAAAGTGTGAAGCAGTCCTCAAATGAATTTGAACAAAGATCTTTAAAAATGAGTTTGAGGCCGATCGGATGGTAAACAAAAATGGTGCATACAAACTTTTTTCGCGATTTTTCCACACTTGCGGGTGGAATTTCTCGAAATCCCGTCTTAACGTGCACCTACATCACATAAGGTAAATATAGTGCAAATTTCAGCTTCCTAGCTCTTACGGTTTGGGCTGTGCGTTGATCACCAATCAGTCAGTCAATCAATCAGTCAATCAGTCAGTATGTCAGTCAGTCAGGACAAACAGTTTTATATATAGAGATACTAGTGATGTATCCATTATTGTTAGAGTATTCTTTAATTTATAAAGCGGTAATTATCGTATATGAGATGTTTTTTTGGGGAGTTAACGTCATTTGGGATATGAAACATATTGGAAGCTCAAATAGTTTAGCACGCCAAATGCGCCCAAATATATGCAGATATGTTTTGTTTATACAAAACTTGAGGTCCCTTCGTATAGCCAAATATTAAAATAAATTTGTAATTCAGAAAAGCGTGCAATAAATTTCAACACCCGCTCAGAACAGGATGAGGAAAATATAAATAGGTTGACTCTGAGCTTTGTTGGTTGGGTTTTTCAGCCTTACCCGGGCAGAGTTTGGGCCAGGGGTGGGGCTGGGGCTGGGACTGGGAAGTTTGCTGATGTGTGTGCTTGTCGTTGGCATGGCAAAAGTACTTGAAGAATTACACACAATGCATGCATTATTCATGCTTACTTCAGAATTTGCGTTACAAAGTAAAAAATGTTGTAAGGACACTTCTGCCTAGCCCCGACACTCGCAAGGGGAGGCAGGCACACACTCAACGACTGTGTGTGTGTGTGTGTGTGTGTGTAAGGAAGTGTGAAGGAAAGCCCGGCAAAAGCAAAGTGCAGAATAGTCGAGCACAAAATGAATGAAGAACAAACCGCTGATAGATTACAGTTTTGGCTTGATGGTCTCTAACCTGCCCCGCCCCCGCCCCACTCGCTCCCCCGCCCCACAGCCCGGGAATGCAAATTGCGGCAACCGCAACGACACTCGCCGCACAACAAATGTACATAATCATGTCAAATGTCAGCCGAGACGAATGCAGGACGGGCAACAACCTGGCTGACTGGAGACCAACCCGGGGCCCAGGATCTCCGCCCTGCCACTGACATCCAGCTGGCATTTCAATTGGCTCGCGTCGCCTTGAAGTTGTGGTAAAATTGATGAGACCATCAAATATTGACAATTGCATATCTAATTCGGTCTGGGCGGAACACTTGACGGAACACACAAGGCCGGCCTGAATGTTCACGCCGGGCATAAATCAACATCAGCTCGAAATTTCAAGGACTTTGTCTTTCAATCCTGATGTGGCATAAATTCAGCTAACTCATGGGATACACACACCAGAACTGCACTTATCGAGCTTGTTCTTCCTTTCGGCCAACGACACTTGTTGTGGCCTTAGTTTTTCTCACTTGAATGTAAGTCGTTCCCAATTAGTCGGAGATTTTAAATGTCAGATATATGTCCATATGATATTTCTTGTTCCAGCTCGGAATATCCCTTCTTGAGATGGATAAACGCTCTGGATTTGATTTGATTTTCTTTCATTCTTATTCTCTTAATTAATTAAACTATCGCACATTTATTGTCACTTTGCGAATCTGCCCAGAACATCTACTTCCAGGAAACTCGCCTCTCACTTAAAATATCATTCTACTAAATATATGTAAGAAGTGCGATTTGATCCCTTTGGAATATTAAAGCAAATCAAATAGAAAACAAATTGCATTGCATTTAAAGACTTGGTCAATTCAGATTGAGCAACATTTAACATCTTTTGCCAACATATTCTAATTCATTTAAACATCTCTGAGAGATGTTCCTATTCCAAACTATTCCATAAAATATTTGGTTTAAAATGTTCGCAAACGTCAAAATAAATTGAAAAGTTTATTTGAAATGTCTTGTGAGCGCTCAAGTAAGTATTGAAGACAATATGATACATTTCTCTATTTATTTAATGTGTGTGTTTTTTAGAAGGAAAAAAGAGAACTTCAAGCCGTCTGACTTGGACTATCGACATTGGAAATCTGCTAAGTGATATATGGCAAGAGAATAATTTCACATATATAACATGTCAAAGCAGGTAAAGCAACAAGTAAATACGATTTTTCGTTGCAGTTGAAAATATTATTAATTTTATATATATTCCAGACAGAAAAAGACAAAAACAAGTAAGAGGTTCTAGTCGGGAGCTCCCGACTAGGGGATACCCTGAACCCTCTTCTTCCAACAGGCGATAGGTATACAAAAATGAAAGATACTTGATATATATATACTATTCTAGAAGCAACATGTCAAGTTTCGTGATTTTAGCACTTATTATTTACCAAAATTGTTCAAAAAACAGGATTTCGATATCGATTTTTATCGATTACTTGGAAACGGGGCAAGTTATCGACTATCGGAAACAAATTCGATCTGCGCGGGGACTAGGAGGACCTACAGCTAAAATGTCTTATAGGTTCTGAGATCCTTGCGTTCATACATACGGACAGACGGACGGACGGACAGACAGACGGATATGGCTAAATCGACTCTGCTATTGATGCTGATCAAGAATATATATACTTTATGGGGTCGGAGATACTTCGTTCTGCCTGTTACACACATTTGCACAAATACATTATACCCTTTTGACCCATTTTCAATGGGTTCAGGGTATAAAAGTGGACTGAGTGTAGAAGTTCCATCTACTTGAGTTCATTTTGTGAAAATTGATCAAATATTGGACTCGTTTAAGTGTCATGCTGCAAACACGGTGGATAACCATAGTTAGTTGTAATCATAGTGTTGAATTAATTTAATTTAATTGATATGCAAGAATCTCCACAGGAGCCAGAAAAAGCAGCTTCTAGCACTGCAAATTGTCAGGCATAGTTGATGGTATTATTTCAAATTCAATTCAAATCAAAAATGGCCATTGTGGCTTTAAATGTGCAATAGTTGCCAATTTACTTATTCAATTTATATTTTTGGAGCTTTCTTTCACATTTGTAGAGATGTTTGATGTTGCCAATGTGAACAGCATTTTCACATCTTCAATACATTTCATTCATTCCCCGAAAAATACTTAGTGTGAACTGACATTGAAATATATTTAAGATTTAAGCGTTGTATGTATCGATAAGGAAATAGGCGATTTATGTATCGATATAAATATGCGAGCTGTATCGATGCTGGAATTGAAAGGATAAACATCGATACTTGGAGCGGTAAAACTGAGTTTAAAGCCAAAGTTGTGTAATAAAGATATAGAGAACAAAAGAAAGGACTGCGGACTATACATTAACTATTATATATCTGTATATATTAGATAAAGAGTTCTCTTATTTTATCCCGAAAAAGTCTTTCCAAATTGCAGCACAACTGAATTGATGGATTCATGCCGTCGCGTTCAATGTTCAGCCTGTCGTAATACAATTTCAAAATAAACAAATGGAATTGGGAAGTCAACAAAACGAGGGCAAATGGGGCTAAAAGCTGGACCACAAAAGGCGTGGGCCACCGCCAATAGGCGGATTACATGGCGTCCTTCTTAGCTTGCTTTGGTGGATTTACAACTCGCCTCTGTTCGTCCAGTGTCAATCTGCGTTGTACTCTTGACAGGCTTTGCTGTCCTTTCAAAATACCAAATTCAATGTAATCGCTCTCGTAATTGTAAGCGTTCAAATACATTTAGTTTGGAATTAAGATGCCTACCTACATACATGTATGTATATCACGATGGTCAAGCATTTTTCTTTACATCTGTTGGAATATGACAGTTATTCAGAATTGAACTAATGGAGTGCGGCAAAAGGTGGCTGCCTTCATCTGTTAACGAATCACGCAATAATAGTATAATTCCACTATCAACATTTCTTACATTTTTGCCGAATGTTACATTCGATGATTTATCGAATTTCGTATCGATGTAATGGAAAATGGAGCCGTATTTTTTGGCGCTTAGGTAGATCAAATCAACCCGATAAGCTGTTTATTTAAAGAAGCGATACTTTTGTAATTCAGGTGTTACCGACAACTGACACTTGCTAATAGAATCGCAGAATGTGAAGTTTGTAAATGTAACAAATGTGGAGCATTGAGGAATCAGGCTATTAGATAGTTAAGAATCGTTGCCGTACCCCGACTTTGGAGGAACTAATCGATATCTTCGAGTGAGCCCATTTCTACAAAAAGACACCAAAACGATAAGCTATATAGATATATCCTGTTTGACCTTAAGAGCTTAGAAGCCGCATAACTTACTTAGCTTAAGATCAAACTCACAATTGGAAGGTCGCCAGTTCAAAGTCAGCAAAAGTTCTTATTAAATAGTAAATATACATCTTTCATTTGTATAAAATAAAATGTAAAAGAAAACAAAACATTTCTTCTCACAAAATCCTATTAGCGAGGAACTGAACTTGGCTTGGACATCTTCAGGGCGTATCTCCAATATTCCAATGGTTTTTTAATGGAGCAAAGTTGCCTTGCTGAAATTGGGTCAATTATGAGAAAATGACACCGCACGAATTTAATATTAGCCCTGGTAAATTCCTTTTATACGATGAACGGGATCGAAACTTTCACTTCTAGCCAAAATGCCGAAAATTTATCATTTGAAAAAATACAAAATTACTCGAATGTTGATTTATTCGGAAATATACTTTCCAATATATGTATTTACAGCGTGTATTACCCGGTCTTGCGCGGTATTTTGATGCGAAACAACGAAAGAACTGAAACCGAAACCGAACATAATTGAACCGCATTGTGGGTCCTATCAAACCGCACACGCGCCCATCATCATCATCATCATCAGCATCGGGAACTTCTTCTGCTTCGCAATCCCACAAAAGGAAAAACTTACTACATCATAAACTAGAAACATGTGGGGAAATGGGGCTGGGTTTTAGTGGTCATGTGGGTGTGTAAGCTGCCGGCACGAGTGGAAATTATGTTGATAACCTTGCATGATCCTGACATTAGAGCTGCTCGGGGCGCCTGCCTCCTCAGCCTCACCCTCCCCCCGCGCACCCGCATCCTCTTCTGCTGCTGCTGCGGTTGCCGGGGCCCATGAGATGGAAATGTGCACGTACTGCCTTAAGTATATTTAAGCATATGGAGAGAATCAAGTGAAAATCAATAAAAACCAAACACGTCTACACAAATCACATGAAAATCGATGTGAAGGCAGCTGAGTGGACTGTGCACAGCGAGGGTCGGAGTGCGGGGGGCGGGGGGGGCGCAACTTCTATGCCAATGTAACCGAAACTTAAAGGATTGCGTCTTGTTGTTGTTGTTGCTATTTTATTGGTAAAACGTGCAACGCATTATAAAGTAACCAACAAGCGAGCCAAATAAACAACTCTTGCCGAATATTAAATACCCTAACAAGGTATTGTATACTATATGGTCGATATTTATATGGTCAATCGGTAATCAAGAAATTATTATGCAACTTAATTTGTAGACCATAAAGACCTAACTTTTCTCTTCATTAATTTGAGGTCTATATAAGGTGGGCTTCTACTTATTTCATTGCGATAGTTTATACGATAGTTTCCATTGCTAGAGTGTACCAATTCGGCTGGTTCTGATATATGTTATACGACATTCGATAAATCATCGCAAATAACACGAATTACTCGGGGTGAATGCCAAAGGCGAAAAATGTGCTTTCTTATGGAAAAACGTACAGGCAACATACTTTACATTCGCCAAAAAATGTCAGAAATGTTGATAGTGGAATTAGGTTAATAAACGAAACTCTATCTCAATTTTCATCAAAAAATCACGCACTTACACCGAGTTCACATAGACAGTTTAATGGAAAATTTCTCGATTTTGCTCTTACATAAATATACTTGCACAAATATGCGACTAAAAATGACTCACAGACGTGGTGACAAAGTCCCCATACTCTCACTTAGGGCATACATACATAAGAGAGAAGAGAAGAAGAAGAAGAAAAAACATATCCGCGTTGGGGCTTTTCACAAAAGCGCATTAAGTGGTCTATTCGCTGGGCTCGTTGAATCGTATCCTTTCCTAGCTTCTGCTGATTATGGCCATGAGTTAGCCAGAGACTAGCTACACACACACACACACACACACACACACACACAGACACACATACATATGTACGTATGTGTGTACGTAGTCTAGGCACCTTCGGTGCGTATGCGAGTAGTTTGCTTGCCTCGAATTTTGATTCGGGCAGGAAAGGATTGGCCCCAAAGCTTAAGTGCCTTGGCATGAACAACAATCGGAATCGGAGCTTTTAGCGGAATTTACTTCTTTGATGTTTCGCCATTTTGGAAGTGCTCATGTTCGTGTATTACGTGTTCAAAATTTTGACGCAGTTTTGTTCAGTTCCTACGCAAAAAAAATACACCAAAATTCGCAGCTTAACAATAAGAACTCAGAACAAAGAGCTTCGCAAACGTGCAGAATTCGAAATGCTGCGATTTAGCTTAGTGAAAAGAAGAAAACTATCGATAGCCGATAAGACATATCGATAGCTGAGGCAAAACTTGGATTTGATTTTAATATCGATCGCATTTTAAGAGATTTTTTCATTTAAGAAAAACGAATATCAAAACGTGTTCGTCTGATCAGAATATTGCAATACCATTTCGATATCAGCTTGAATATATTATTTAATATTTATTTAAAATAAGTTCTTCTTGAATGACAATAATTAAAGAAAAATCTAAAAATAACGCTTCGATAGTACAATAAATTAACAATCGATATGTTTTGTGAACTCTGGTTGGAACTCCTTTAGAATATGCTACGCTCTATTAGAAACTCACGCGCCAATTGGAACTGTTCGGCTCCAATTTGTCGACAGCTTCCAATTAGAACTCTGTTAGAATTAGCTGTCATATATATTCGAGTTTTTTACTGGAATGCTTCGTTTCTAGCTGCGATTTCAGTTTAAAGAAAATCTAATTTGTACAAACATGTAAAAGTAATGTGAAAAATTTGAAAAAAATAATCTCCAAATTGAAAATTTATGAATGTATTAATAGACCCCTCTATGGAATATGCTGACAAACCATTAAATGGGATTTTAATCTTTGCCTCTTCGCTTTTTTTTCTGTAACGCTGCTGTCAGGAATTTCCATAGTTTTTCTGGAGCAGCTGGACTTGGAGGAGGATTGTTACATTAGGAAGAAAAAATAGAGAAAATCGAGAAAATGCTGCTCGGCTCAGGAGCTCTGAAGCTGTCCCTGTTTTAACAATTCATCTTAATACAAAAATAAAAAATGGCGCCAATGGCGTTGGACAGTCATTCTCTCAAAGCACTCACTCCCCCCTCCCCTCTGCTGGCCGCTGCCGTGGCTATTTGTCACAGCTTCGTTGGCCAAAGATGCTGAAGCTACGGGCGGCTGCGGCTGCGGCTGCCACTGCAGCGTTCTATGTGCCACAAAAGTTGTGCCACAAAAACTTCCCGTTTGTTTTTTGTTGTTGTTGTTGTGTGTCTGTTGTGTGCGTGTGTGCGGGCGTGGAGGGGAATCGCTGGATTTACACATGTCAGTTAATGCTGAAAAAATGTTTACACAACACAATTGCCACGCCGTGGCGGGAGCGGGGGCGGGTGGGTGTGGCGCCCAGCATGTGGCTACACAGATGCCAAAGTTTTAAAGGCCAGCATTTGCACCCCCCCCCCTCCCCACACCACGCCCCTTACTGGTGCGGCCCGTTGCAGCAAACGTCGAAGCGGATAAAAGTCGGCCGCATATAATTAATCAAATACATGATTTATATAGCGCATACAATACGGATTTAACCTAAACAGGATATATGCCCCGCTCTCAGTGTGTCCTGTCAAAGGACAACAATAACAACTGCCCGGAGACAGTTTATATTAACGGTATACAAATATCTGATCCATCCTTGTTAAACATGTTGAGCATTAACTCCCACAACAACAACAACACAAATTAACTTTGAGCATGTTGTGGCCCTGTAATACCCTGTAATATTTTATGCTTTGAGGAGTAATCTGTGCTACATTAAGCATATCAACTCTTGTAATTAAAAAAAAAAAAGAATTGCTTCTTTACTTCCATCAAAAAATAGATTTTCAGCTTTTTGCTTAACGCACAAATACTCACAGATAAATACTCATAAGTACTCACATAAGAAATACTCATAGGCATAAAATGTGCTCAATGCTAATGCACTCACAAGTGCTGCTCTTGAGTTGCGAACTTATATTGCAAACTCTTAAGCTTAAGAGCACTCGATTTTAAGAGCACTCAAAGAGTTGTGTGGCGCGCGCTCTTTGAGTGCAAAAGCGAGCAGCACAACAACAGCTGATGCTGCCGCTTGCCAACATATGTTTGCCGCACAAAAGGAGCACAGCTGTGGCAAAGCACTCAGAGCCAGGCAAGCTGCTCGCTCGCTGTCGATCTCGCTCTCACGCTTGCGCCTGCGCTCGCGCATTTTACAGTAAATGACAATTCACGGCCAAGGGGAAAAGTCACTCACTCGTTAGCGGCAGGAGCAGCGCGGCAGCGCAGCAGCAGCGCTGCCGTGCCGGAAAATTGCTATAAAAGCGGACGCGCATACCGCCGGCCGGATAGTAGCTTTGGAAAACTGCTCCGCCACAGAAGTTGCCGCCCAAGCTCTCCTCTCTGCCGTCAACCGTGTGTCGTCCAACTGCCACACAACGTTTTGTAGTTGTTGTTGTTGCAAGCTTCGTTCAGCTGGCAGCACAGCTCACAAACACACACACACACACACGCGCACAGCTGCAAGCACAGCTGTGAGCAGTTGACTTGACTTGAGTTGCGTTGCGTTGAGTTGAGTTGGGAGCAGCAAGCAGAGCGACTCAATTGCTGCCAGCAGAGGCCGCCCCGTCCGCAGAGAGCCCTCGACGGTTGTCGCTGTCTAATTCAACGTCCAGTCAAGCAGCGGCCGCCGCACGCAACACAACAGCTCTACTCGACACGCACGGAGACGGAACGACGCAAGCAGCAGCAGCAGTAGCCAGCACATGCATAGACACATAAATGATTGTGTGTGTGTGTGTGTATAGAACTTTAACTAATTCGCAATTCCTTTTTGGGCAACAAACAAAATAATATTAAAAACAACAACAACTCAACTTTCAAGTGCTGTGCGTAAATTGTAAAGAGAAGGAAAGAGAGAGCGAGCGAGCGAGCGCGAGGCGGCAGTTTTCGGCTTTTTTAGAATGTATTAAAATTTAAATGTTTAACTAGAATAACAAATTTAGTTGTTGATACTTTTTGCAATTATTTGTTAAACGAGCAAGAGAGAGAGAGAGAGAGCAGTAGTAGAAGACAAGAGACCATAGCTTCAGTCAGAAAATTGTGTGCCGTAAAAGAACGTGAAATATTTGAATGCAAGCAAATCGCAAATAATAAAATAATAAACTGATAAATAAAATAATATATATATATAGATATATATATATATACAAAACACACACAAATACATACACACAAAAATCAAATCAAATTCTTGTGATTAAAGTGCATTTCTAATACATATATACATAGATATACATATATATACACCCACACACACCTACACATATGTATATGTATTTCACTATACGCATCGAAAAATAACAACAACAAATATAACAACCGCTAAGAAATCGCAGTCAAAACTTTGAATGCTGCCCAAACAAATTCCAATTGGAGTCAACGGCAACGAGTGAGAAATTCTTATTTGACTATGAAGATGGAAGTGCTATCGGTACAATGTCACATTCAGGAACAATTCGGCGGCATTGGGGCAACAAAAGTAAAAGGTGAGTACCGCAAATTTCTATAAATATAATCCGCATAGTGCCCTCTGTCTGTGAGTGCGTGTGTGTGTGTGTCTGTGAGTGTCTGTGAGTGTGTCCTGTGCTTTAAACTCAAAATGTTACCGAAAAGTGAAAAAATTTTAGTTTTCGTTAAAGTCGTTCAGCATATAAAACACAGAGTCGCAACTCTGCTCAATGAAGTTCAAGCAAGCCAATGTTAGGCTTTTCTTTAGTAAGTCGAGTTTGATTTTTGTGCGAACACATTTTCTTTTGCAAAACGCATACGAAATGTATATACATTTTGTAAGTCTAAAAACTAGTTCAACCCAAAATATTCTTAAATATGTCTAGCATAAAATTTGTTCTTTCCGTTCTGTTTTATAAAAGACATTTTAAAAGTAGACCCAGTTTCCAAAGAATATTTCTTGGCGGATGTTATAATAAATTTAACCGAGCGTAAACTTTATAAATTTAATTCATTTGTTTTATAGAAAACTTAATAGTTTCGCAGTTTCAACACTTTTGCAAGTTCTTTTTTATGTTGTATTCTATATAACATAGTATATATTGCCAACGAACTATGCAATTAAATATATATTAGTTAAAAATATAAAAATATTTAAGAAAAAGTATCAAAAGTCGTCATAAACTTAAATCTTTTATCTTGAGCAAATACAAAAGTTTGCCGATTATCACCGAATTTCGTTGATAAAACTTTTTGTTACCCATTGAAATAGTCATTCATTAAAAAATATGGTTATTTTTAATTAAGAAACATTAAAAACATTTGCATTATGTGCTTCAAACATTTTTGTATTGTTTTTTTTTCAAGTTTATGCCCCATATTTTTGATTCAATTAAATTTAAAAACATTTTATTTGATGTTTTCAACTAATTTCTTAAACATTAAGATTTACAATTCAGAAGATTTTTTTTTTTTGATTTCTTTTTATGTTTTTTTTGCGTACGTTATGTTAATTTTGAAAGAGCTGAACCGAATGCTTAAAAAAATCCATTATCGGTTGGGTTTATCTCAGGGTTAAGCGTTGTCATTAATTTCCTGACGATAACTAATAGAATTAACTGTCGAATTCACTTAATCCGGAACCAGTTAGAAGAGAACCAAAAATGGCATTTTCAAAATTACGGGTCATGCCGGAATATGTGCATATGCATGCCAGAATGCATGTGTATATAACGGGGCTTGTGTGTATTTTCTTTATTTGGGGTTGAAATATACCAAAATGTACTTTATGCATTTCTGTGCATCGTCCGGGGGCAAGCATATCCAGTTCCTGAGTCTGACGTGCGGATTATGCAACATCCTGTTAATCCCTGTCACTTAAAACTTGGTTAAGGCACACACCGACTCCGAATCCTGCAAATTAGACACGAACACGAACCCAGCCTGGGCAACTGGGGACATGTAAACCGGCCGAAAATTCAGAAATGCACCCAGTTGGTGGAGAAAGAGACGTGGAGACGGTCGGGGAGAGGCAGCAGGGGCTTTATGTTGACGGCGACATGCAACGACATGTCGTCACACACACAGACACATGCCCATACAAATACAAATGCAAAAACATGCATATGCACACCTTGCCGATTGGGAGACCTGAAAGCTGCACGGCAACAGCTCAGGCTGTCTCCTTCGCACCCGTTCTTTCCCAGTAATGTCTGTGCGTGTGTGTGTGTGTGTGTGTGTGTGTATTTGCAGTCAATTTAATTTCATGACTGACTGGGCGCATGCAATTTTCTTTTCGAAGGACACATACACATGCATACGAATGTAATTAGTCATGCATATTCATATGCTATTCAATCTGGGGAATCTAGAAACTGAATAATGTTGTTAAATAAATGACTTAATTTCCTGCAAATAAACATTATTTATGTCCATGCCCGCCCCTTTCCTGATTTTAGTTTGGTATTCATTCGGTGAGTGGGCTTGGGATCAGATTTTTCGATAAAAACCCATTCAAAGAGCTTAAAATACTGTTCTCTTCGACTATGTCCTGATCGGAACATAGCTATCTTATTTACTTTTGATCGAATATTATCGATAGTTTTAATCCAAAACACAGTCACACTTTAAATGTGTACAACTTCTTTTCGGTAGTATGTGCAAAGGCCTTTCTTCAACATTTGAAGAACACTCACAAAATTCGATTTAGCGTTTTTGGTATTTTAAAGTTAATTCGAAAGATGTCTTTCATCCAGCATACGGTCACACTGATCTGTAGTACAGATTCTGTCAGTGTTTGATGAAAGCGCGTACCGTACGTATGTACTAATACTAGTACATACTGTGTGTATGTGTGTAAAACGTTGATTTGAGTGTTCCACAATTGTGTTTTGATTGAACTTTCAATGAGGATTCATCGCGTGGTAAAAGTATTCATTCCAAGGTATCAATCCCAAGCATATGCCTATCCATTTATTTAAAACTCCAACTCAAGGCCACACACGATGCGAGAGCACACGCACACGCATACGCATGATGCAATTCAAGCACAAGCTTAAGCCTCCCTTCTCTAGTGCAGTTGGGAAGATAAATTGAATGCTTGCCTCTGTCTGAGCGCAGGCTTTACAATAACAACAAGAAGTGCAAAAAAGCTTTAACATTCGCCGCAGGTAGCTGCAGACATGTGAGTGTGTGCGTGTTTTCAAAGAGCGGGTGGCAATAAGAGATGTACAACAATTGTATGCACACACATGCATACATATGTATGTATACATAAAAATACAGCTTGATGCTGTTGCTAGGCCGTTTTTGTTACTGTGTTTCTTGGTGTTGTTATTGCCGATTTTGAATGCATAAAACAGACTGCCGCAAATGTCGCGTGATGTGTGCCCGCAGTCATGAAGACGACATGATGAAGTGGGGGAGACGTTGTGTGGGTCTCATCGGAATCAATGTGCATGCTTGTTGTGTGTGTGTGTGTGTGTGTGTGTGTGTGTGTGTGTGTGTGTGTGTGCGTATGTAATTAAATGTGTATGCGGTCGTTTGTGTGTTTCCTTTTCGCTTTCGCTTTTGATTTTACATTGTAAAGTTTATACAAACCCTTTTCATGCAGCACTTGACAAGCACGTGTGTGTGTGTGTGTGTGTGTGTGTGTACGTATGCATACATTCATTTGTGACAAACGCAGCGAAAGGCATAAACACAGAAAGAGAACCGCAAACATGTGCCGTTAATTTCTTAATTACGCGGGTGCTCATAAAGAGAGCAAACGAGATAGCAATATCCATTCAGTCGGTGCAATGGAATGGGCACTGCGGCATATGTATGTATGGGCATAGAGAAGGCGGCTGAAAGAGTTTCAGCGCTAATTACATGACATCGTTGAGCCTGGCCAAGTGGTTAATTTGTGCATATTACAAAGCATGGGACAACAGTAAGATATTTAACTGTTTTTATTTACATACTACGGGCACCTTAAATAACCCCACTCCAACAAGCACACCACATACAAGCGTCTACACATAAATACATATGCATTTATTTATGTAAAAAGATAAACACACAATAGGCAGCAAAATACAGTGGTAGCAATTTGAATTTGAGAGCTGAAAATGCGAACAACTGAGAAGAAGAAATGCAATATTAAAAGGAAAAGAACATTTATTTGTTCATATCACATGTGCTTTTGTCGAAATTATGACCACATTTTGTGTTATACAATATTTTTAATGTTCAGTAGCAACATTATCGAACCTTCAAATCCGCACTTTTGTCCACTGTACGGCTGCTGTGCTCAGCTTAGCTTTTGTATTTGTATACTTGAGTATTAAAATAACAGCAAAAATAAAAATAAAACTGTGCAGCCAAAGGCAAACGTCAGGCAGAGAAGACACATAAAGCATGGCATTGGTCATTGCGGGAGGCGAAGTGTGGGGCAGCAATTGCATGGCAAGGCAAAGGCAAAGCCAAAAGAAACTGCTGACTAACGAACGAGCGAACAAAACGGATGGGGACGGACGCGCAATCGTCAGCTGGAAACGATGAGGCCTCTGGCTCATAAAGCGAAACTAAGATTGGCAAGGGGGAAGAAGAGCGCAACGAGCTGCACACACACACACACACACACACAAACACATTACCTAATGATGGCTGGTTGACTGCTTTAACGGGCTGTGCTTAAGCGAACGGCTGATTTTCCAGCTGTTGTTGCCAGGTGATTTCAGTCTACCCCCCGCGCCCTGGAAGTGTTGAGTGTTTTGACGAGCCTGCGCACAGGGCGTGAGTGCAATTTCGAGCTTGCGCAAGCTCTTCGTATGTGTGTGTGTGAGAGAGAGAGAGAGCGAATGAGAGTGGGAATTATTGCAAGGCTTTTGCCGGTGGCAACGCAGACATCAGCTGTTATTTTTTTTTTTCGTGTCTGCTTTATTTTTTGTGGTTTTGTTTCATCTTTGTCGTCGTTTGCATTTCGCCGGTCGATGTTTCGTGACTAAACTTGTGCGCTTTTGCTCCATATCCTTGAATTGCAGACTGGACGAGTCCGCTAACGGCACCAGCAACTGCAACGGCAACGGCAGCGGCAGCCGCAGAGGTGAACGTGGCTGACGTGGACATTGTCGACGTGGACGTGGATGTGGATGTGGACGTAGACGCTGATGTTGTGGATGGCCATCCAGCGTCTGTGCTGCATATGCGTCAGCATCAGGCGCTCAACACACGGCCGCGCCTCTCCTCGGCGTCAGCCTCGGCCACATCGGCGGCCGCCAAACCGCCCGCATCCCCCATGGCGGCCAGCTTTGATATGCTCAACGGGGGCAGCGCCGTCGCCGCATATATGTCGAACGTTCTGCAGGCAGGGCCGCCGCCTACGCTGCCCGCCTCGCCGCTGCAGTCGACGTCAGCGGCACGCTTCGGCGCCATTGACAATCTGGACGATGTGAACCCGGCTGCTGTGCAGGAGCTTTCGCAGCAGCTGCAGGCCAAGCTGCGCGACGCCAAAAGCCAGCATCTCGACTGCACCGAGGTCACGCTGCCCAACAATTTGATGTCGCGCATTGCCGCCGAAATAATACGCATGTCGGAGCGGGAGCCGTGCGGCGAGCGGGCTTGCACCATATTCATAGAGTTCGAGAGCGAGCCGAACAACGTCAGGTAAGAGAGGATCAGCAGAGTAAGCTCTCGCTCTCGCGGCGCCAACTCTTTATCTGACTTTTGGCTGTGCATGATTTAAGAGAAAACTAAAGCTTATTTTTTTTGTTCATCTGCAGGCGCATTGCCTCGTTCAAGGTGGACCCGGAGACGGTCTCCATATTTGAGCTTTATCTGACGCTGAAGCAGGACAAGAGCGGCTGGACCTCCCTTCTGCCGCAGTTTCTCAAGTAAGCGCTTGGAATAGTTTTCAAAGCAACTGTTACTCAAATAACTCTCCCTCCCTCTCTCTCTCTCTCGCTCTCACTTACAGAAATTTAACGCGCAGCAATACGATTATGATCAGTCCCGATTTTACTTTGACCAAGAACAAGCTCTACTCGCCGAGTAGAGGCAGCATCATATGAGGCAAATGGAAGGCGTAGACGTGGGTGTGGGCGTGGGCGTGGCGAAAAAAGGGCGCTGCACTCGACTCATTACACAATCCCTCCGAATAAGTAAATGGTGAACAAGAAAAACAAGCAGAAGAAGAACAACAGCTGCAGCAGAGCCTATGAAGAACCTCACGTCTGCGTCTCCATCGAAACCCATCCAAAAACAAAATATTTAAATAATAATATAATATTAACAAAAAAAAAACAACCCATAAAGAGGCAAACTTTGGACCACAATTCAACACAACTCCTGCAAAATCAACAAATCAACTCAACAAAGAAGTCGAAGAAGAAGAAGAAGAGGATTAAAAACAAACCCAACCACAATTATGTATTTTGAGAACTAAAAATCCTAAAACAAATCAACTGCAGTTGCAGGCAACTCAAAACTCTTATTGGACTGACTTTTTGGCTTATAAGAAAAAAAAGGAACTTTTTGAAAAAAACAAAATCAAACAAAAACAATACACAAAATATTGCAAATATTGTTAAAAAACAAAAAAAAAAAAAAACAAAAAAAAGGAAACTAAAAACAAAATAACGGTTGTCGGTTATCCGTTTTTAAACACAAAAGCAAAAAGGCAAAAACAAAACCTACCCAAATTGTATGAGAAAAGAGAGTATTAATCGTATAAGCTATGTATGAGAGTATGTGTGTATCAGCTGAGAGAGAGAGAGAGCGAGAGGGAGAGAGATGAGCAAATACAAATTTCTATATAGTAGTTGATCATATATATATATGATATATGGAATATGTATGTATGTTTTTCTTCACGATCTTATTAGGCTATAAAAACTCTATATGAAATATATATACATACATATATATTTAAGGGAAGAACAGAGCAAACAATAAGGCAAACAAGTTGAGCAGAAGAAGAAGAAGAGGCAGAGCAGAAGATGTAGAAGCAGAGTAGAGAAGAAGCAGCTGCAAACAACAAAATAAATATATAAAAAAAAACAAAGTTGATGTGATATTATATAATAATTATGAATATTAAGACACAAATACAAATACACACACACACACACACATACTTAAAAGAAACGAAGAAAAACTTGAATATTTTGCAAAATTGATTTTGATTTGAATTAAATCCAACTTTAATCCCAACTAAGTTCAAATTATCTTCACTCAATTGAAACAGAATATATTCATTTTTTATTTTTCATTCTTTATTTTTCTTGTGCAGAGTTCCAAACTCTAGCTCTATATAGATATATACAGTATATATATATATATATATATGAAATATTTATAATATTTGATGTGTTTCTAGCTTAAGATTTTAATATTAATGAAAAACAAACAAAAGCAGAGAATTCAATGTGTGTAGCTGTGTATTTAACTGTAGTTTAGTTTATTAAACAATTACAAAAATGACAGAAACTAACAATTGGCTACAAATTAATATATATATGCTTAATAATATATACAGTGGGGCAGCTAAATGTATTTGTGAGCAAAAACTGAAAGAAACAAAAATCAACTAAAAATGGAAGAAAAAAAGAAAATTTGGCAACTAAAGCAAATGTTTTTGGAAAATCTATAAAGTCATCTGTGTTAATAAATTTTAAAATAATTTATAGAGTAGTTTAAAAACAACAACAAATTAATAATTAACAAATTCTAAAAGCCGATTAAAAAACTTTTGTAGCTGCAAAAACAAACAACAAAAAAAAAACATTTCAAACGAAAGTATTTGACAAATTTAAGCTAAAGTACATTTAAATAATTTATATACACACACACACACACACACACGTGCAAAAACAGAATTTATTTATTCTTCAAAATAATCCCCCCCAAAAAAAAAAGATCTCGTAAAAAATGATGTAAAACTTTGACTTTGTCAAAGTGAAAATTTTCTTGCAGAAATGTTTAATATTTTTAAAAATGTATTCAAATTTCTACACAAATATTTTTGTTTTTTAAATATTTGAACGCAAGAATATTTTTAACCAACAAACAAATATTCTGGCATTAAGAAAATGTACAAATATTTTAAAAATGTATTAAAAATAATTCTATTTAAAAGCTGCACAAATATTTTTGTTTTTAAGAATATTTCAACTTTCTGCAAGAATATTTTTAGCAAACAAAAAAAAAAAAACTCATATTATAATAGAAAACCAGTAAAAAAAACAAATTTGCATTTTCATCAAAAAAACACAAACAAATGTAAATACAGTTTAAAACAAAAAAACAACAACAAAAAGAACTAAGCGTATTTAATGTATTAAAAGGTAAAAAGTTATAAACAATGTGAACATAAAAACTATGCAAGCAAGTGAAAAAAATAGAACCATGAATGTGATCTATTTAATAATCAACAGAAACAAAAACAAAAACAAAAACAAAAACAAATACAAATAGTAAAACAAAACAAAAACAAAACGAAAAAAAAACAGTTGACAATTTTGGGTTACTTTTGTTTTTTTTTTTTTTAAATAAAGTATTACATAAATGAAATGTAAAGCTTTTAATTTGTAGAACTTAAAATATAATTTGCCAATTAAACAATTTGTTTTATTTGTGCTTAAAGAACGAAAAAAAAAAAACTAAAAAATAACGTAGAACGCAACGCTTTAAATATTTAAGCATCTTTTTGTTTATAACAAAAGCGCTTTTTATTTGAATAAAAACTTTTGGTTTCTTGTTCTCCAATGGATGGGTGTGAAATGTATAAAGAACATGAATCTTAGACACGTCCAGTGCTCCTCAAAGTATTTGTAAACAATAATGATATACGGTTAAATAAAACTATGCATAACTAGTTATTTATGAGTATATATATATATATGCATATGTGTATATATGTATGTGCAACGAATATGTGTATGTGTGTGTTTAAATTGTAGAACTTTTACTCTATATATGATGATAATACGTAGTGCATGTATGCATGTATGTGTGTGTGTTTAACGGGAACCAATTAATGCATTCAAAATGAGCAACAAAAAAAAAAAACAAACTCGAATTAACAAAAATTAATCAACAATAATCAATCAATTAGAAAACGCCTCAAGTAAACGAACGTTAAAGCGAAACAAAATAAATATATATTTAAAAAAAAAAAAACAAAACAAACAAAAATATTACTAGTGAATTCTTCTTAATGTAAACAAAAAAAAAAAAACACATAATGTATGTACTATCAGATATTTAGAGCAGAGCACGTCAAATAATTAAAAAAAAAAAAAGAAGGAAAGAAATGAAAATTGAGTAAGAAAATCGAGCACAAAAAGAGCCCTACCTTACCCTGCCGCCTTCTCGTTCCAAAAAGAGCCCTACCTTACATTACCCTGCCTTGCCCCACCTTCGCCCCCCTTCTCCATCCACACACACATTTGAAGTTTTTGATAATTCAATGAAATATGTATTTAAGCGATTATCCCACCATGTGATTTAATACGGAAATTCATCGTTTATTAACTAGAATCGAAATTTGTTTGTTTTCTCTTTTTTTGGGAATCTTACCTATATAAAATCTTTTTTTGTTGCATTAAGACTCGACACAATCACCGAATTATTGCAAAATGAAAAGAAAAGAAAGTTAAGATGCCATTCACGACGTTTTTCTCAGTGTATTGTCATTTTGTTATTAGTTAAGATCAGTTCGAGCCGAACGACCAACAACTAACTAAACCAACAAAATCTCAACTTAGTTAACAAGTTGATCAAAATGTCTGGAAGTATTTGGGAATATATGAACTCAATGTTGTAAATCAAGTAGCTACACATAAATATATATATATATATATATTTGTGACTAAGTAATGTTTAACAATTTCCATATATTATATCTAAATAATAAAAAAAAAGAAAAAGAAAACGAGACAAAAAGTTGAATACAAAGCAAATGCGAATGCAAAACAATATTATTTATATATATATATACAAGTATGTATGTAAAAACAACAACAACAAATTTAAACTTTAGTAGCGCTTAACAAATTCTAGCAATTTAACAAATTTTAATTAATCAAAATATGAAATATATATGTATACATATATACATATATGTATATGTATGTAAGAAACAAACAAATGCAAAAAAACTGCAATTTCATTTTTCTCTGTGTAAAAGTTGAGTAAAAATAATAAAAAAAAACTACAAAAAAATAAATAAATTTTTTAAATGTGAAACGCGCATTTTCGAATTTTTCAATTGAATCTTGAAACACGCGCTCTGCATGCGTGCTTTGTGTCTCGGCTAACGTGTTTCGCAAAGTTAGGAGCGGTGCTTAATGCTTAGATGTGTGGTTTGTGTCTCGGCTAGCGCGTGCCTAAATGTATTTATCAAAGTTGAAATCGTGCCTTGTGTCTCGCTGTTAGCCAAGACACACACCAGCTGCACTGCGACCAATAGCAGCTAGGCTCTCACACTCACTGCTCTCCGAGCTTTCGTTGCGCCAATCCGCTGACAGCAATCGACGCTCAAAGTTCGTCGCGCAGCTCGGCTTCACGTTTCTGCTCTTGCGCAGCCTTCGTCGTCACTCGTCGAACGTTGCTTGGCGCTTGCGGACGCGTTTTCGCTGCGCCGCTTCTGTGTTAACTTTAACTGTTACGACGCGCGCGCGTGTGTTGTGTTTTGTGTTTTGTCCTATTGCATTTTCCAGCACTAACAATTGCAAAAAGCAGAACTTTATATCAAAATAATGCTAGTTCTATGTTAGGTAGGTTCTATGCATACTGTGCACGTGTGTGTGTGTGTGTGTGCATCTGTGATATGTATAACAGATAAGCTGCCCTTGCCCTGCCGAAATGTCAACGTAATCTCAGAAATCTAGTCTTTTGTTAAGTCTCCTGCATTCACATGTTGCGGCATTTTCTTTGAGCCACGACTAATGACTGTGCCTGCGAGTGTGTGTGTGTGTGTGTGTGTGTGTAATTCATATGGATACCAATAAATGAGTTAAAGTACTCGCTAGCAGAGATCGTCTATCTGCAGGAACTGGGCGCGGTTAGTCGATGCCAGGCCAGAGCAGGACTCAGCTCCAATTAGTCAACTTAATAACTGAGTAATTGACATTGTCGCCCACGAGATAAGCTTCTTCTTTCCTCTCATAAACAATGCACCTCTTTTTTTCCTGTACTAATTATAAACGAAACCCGAAGATTACAATCAAAGTTCTATTTTAACTTCATACTCGATATGTTGCAATTGCATTGCTGTTAGGTTATTTTGGTTAAAAGTAGTGCAAATTGCCCGGCGTTGCCCGGCCTAAATGTATAATGTGGAGAATGCAGTTGCTAATGAAATTGTTTGAATTATTCGCGCCAACTTCAGGTGCATAGACAGATACCTGAGGTCAACTCGGGGGTTTGATCCCTAAACTTCGTGCTTAGCAGGCGCATGATTTTGACAGATTTATAATAAGAGCTAAAAAGACTTAAAAGATAGTGTACAAATGTATGTAATAATAATAATCTTGGATAGAAAAACTTATTTGCTAATTTCCTATAATTTGTATACGAATTTAAACGAACTACTCAGGAGTATGGCAATACGTGTCAATGTGGAAAATCTACTTTACTTTTCATTATTTAATACTTCATATTTCAAATGCAGCTGAGTAAAGCCTCAACTAGAACGAATACTTGAAGCAGCTGAAAAGTCCTTTAGTTAGTTCCAGGCAAAAACTAATTTACACAGGAAGATTTGTGCTTATCTTAAGCCTTAATATGATTCATATGCAAACAATTCGTGGAATCAGCCAGGCCAGAACTGGTGGCCCCTTGGGCCAGGGCCAGGGCCAGGCCAGGGCCAGGGCCTGGTCCACAGGCAGATGCAGATGCAGTGCAGCGATAGAAACGCAGGAGTCTTTGGACTCTGGACAGGTCTTTCAACCGAGTCGAGGATTGAGTTATTGGATTGTATGCAATATGAACCGCCAAGTATTGGCCAAGTCTTGGCCACGGCTTTAACCAGAAGCGGATCGGTTAACCTTCTGCTTTTCCACTTTTTTTTTGTGTCTTTTTGCTGACTGGCGCCGTTGTCCCCAGCTATTGCCGCCCCTCGACCCTCCAGCTCACTCTTCGCTAGTTATGAGTCATTTTTCGTGGGTTTTTTGTATATTGTTTTGGCTAAAAGTGTTTAACACTAAACGCCAATTGGCAATTGCATTCCCAACGTATCAATTTGCAATTGAAATTTCGCAGTTTTAACCCGGATTGCCCCCACTTCTATTTCGTGTCGCATTCAGCACGTGCCCTTAACCCTACACAGCCAGCGGGTGTACCTTTTCGCGGCGGGGCATGGAGCACAACTCAGAACCGGCAGCTGATTTGGAGGCCAGCGCCAGCAGCGAGGAGCCCCCGGCTCAGGCCACGCAAATCACCTCAATCGATGGATTCTTCAATCGCAAACGCGGCAGACCGCCAAAGAATCGCTTCGTGGAAGTCTATAAAAGCGTAAGTAAGAAACCTTAACTAAAGTTACATAAAACTAATACAATATCTGAACGACTCTTCGATAAAAACTAGTAAAAGCAGGCTCAAATTTGAGTTTATTTATATGGCGTATATACTTACTGTAATTGCAGTTTATAGGTTACGTTTAAAATGTTTATTTTTATAAGATACAGTCAGATACTTTGCTTTGCCATTTCACAGCCTGAGCATGTGTGCATGTGTGTGTGTGTCTGTGGTGATTGTATTAGTGAGCTTTTGAAAGTTTGCTGGCGCGGTAAGGCAAAAAGCTGCAGCAGCCAATGCGTGAGTTGTATGTGTGTAAAATCTTGAATTAAGCAGCTTGAAACTTGAGTTAAGAATCAACATTGATTGTTGAAACAAATCTTAATCATTATGAATTAAACGATAGAAGCTAATTGTAAGCTTTAAGAAGTTCTTGAATCCAGCATTAAATGAGCTTATAAAAAAGTTGCATATATTCTTGTCAAGTGCAAATCTTTTGATAATTAGTCTAAGAAATATGGGACTAAAAAGATGTTAAAGTTTATAATAATGAGCATATTATATTATTAAGCTCATCCGGAAGTTAGTCGAAAAAAATTATAAATTTGATTTGAGCAGAGTTTTTGTTGTACTTCGAATATTTCTAATACGATTAAAAGATTCTTTTTGAGTATTTTGTTCAAATCTCATAACTGTTCATAATTTCAGATCCACGTACGTCTTCAATATAGGAAAAAAAATGTTTGAAATGATTTTTATATGCTTTGATTTTGGGATTGTACCCTAAAGAATGGGTCTGTCGAAAGTATTTTCTATATAATACATCTTAGACAAATAGTTTTAAATAGTTACATTTTTTATGACTGAAAATGATTTTAATTTAAATATTAAAATAATTTTTGCATAATCTGACATAATTATACAATAAAGGTTTTTGTTTGCATATTTTATTTTATTTATTTATTATTATCTATTTACTTGACGCATAATTTACTCAAAACTTGATTTACATCATTTGCGTCTAATAAAATGTATATCGGTTTTTTTTTCTTTATTTTCAACATTGTCAAGAGCATTTAAGCCTTATTAAAATACTTGGCTCTCTTAATAATATTCGCTTCTGAAGACAATTCCCTTTTCGCTCTTTGCATTTTATAAGCTTCAATTATATTATATATATTATAAAGAGAAATATAGTCAAAATCTACATATGCGCAAATTTAAGAGAAATATTCAACTTACCTTCATTTACTCCATCTTCCAAAGCGCTTCCATTCATGCGTATATTCACTGGAATGAATCCGTTAACCGTTAAGATTTGCACAAAAAAACACAAAAAAAAAACTAAAAATAAGGCACTGAAATTTGGCTTGAATTCACCACAATCTCTCTCTCTCTCTCCTTCTTGGCGTACCTTTACGTTATGCATGTGCATATGTATGTATGTATGTATGTATAAATTGTCTATTAAGATGGCGATCGACAATGCAAGGCAATATCAAAAGAGGAATTAAGGCAATAGCAAAGGAATTTAAATTTTCATTCGTGGCTTCTTTTTGCCAAACACAAAACTAAATGAACACACAACAAATAATGGAATATACAAACTATGCGATAAAGGCAGGTTGACTAAATTAAGCACTTTTATTAACTTTTTGGAAATATAAAACTTACACCACACACATACACTACACTATATACATACATATGTACATTATACTACACTACTTTCACAAGTATGCATGTACATATGTAAAAAGCATTCTTTTTGGCGGCAAAAACGCGGCGAAGCAAAAAAAGCGCTTATCCTCCGACGTCGTTAGCTAACAGGAAACGATTTCCAACTGATTTGTCATTTTCGGCATCGCCGCCCGTCCCTTCTACATTGCAATTTCGAACTTCAATCGAAGATACCGTAACAATTCGAAGAGACAATACCAAACGGTTAAAGGCACGATCGAAATACTCTTGAGGCTCTTGCTGATGAGCTTTTTTTGTAGGAAATGTCGAAAAGCATTTTTTGTTCTCAGTCAATTCTTAATTCGATGGGAACTCATTTAGCTTATATTATCGTGTTATCGTATTCTTAAAATTTTAAATCATAGGCTTAATATTTGAATATTAAAATATTCTTTGAATTTGTTTCGATCGTTCGATAAGATTTCGTCGCCTGCTGCTGGTTGTTCCTTTTCGGTTTGTCTAGCCCACGACGCGCGCCAGCTAATGCCAATGCATATCAGCGCACACAAACATACACGCTTGCACATGCACACACACACACACACACACACACACACACACACACACACACACACACACACACTGGCACACTCACTGTAATTAGGAATTTGCGCCTATTTGCGTGCTGCGTCGCGTCGCGTCGCGTCGCGATGGATTTCCAGAGGCCCCCGTCGATGGGGCCTAATGTGGCATTTAATGTGCCGTGTGTTGAATTGAGTTTTCGGATTTGGTTTTTGCCATATTCGTCATATTAATATTGACAACGAGTGTTTCCGCATTTATTTCACTTGCCCGTCTGTCTGCCTCTCCCCCCCCCCCCCCCCCCTTTCCTTCTCGACCTGCACCGCCCATCCCTAGCGCGTCGAACGTTTTGTGCTTTTAACTGTCATTTTCATAATTTCTACATTTTTGAGCCCAGTTTGTCGGCACATGCACACGCAAGTGCGTACGTGTGTGTGTGTGTGCGTGCGTGCAAGTGTGTGTGTGCCTACGATTACACAGCCCACGCGTCAGCCTCTTGGCCAGAGACTTCGCCCGGCGGGCGGGGGCAGCGTGCGGACGGGGGGCAGGTGTTGGCCAAGTACACACAATTGTACTTGGCTTTGTGAAACGTGTGTGTGTGTGTGTGAGTTTTGTCTGTGTGAATCGAATAATTTGAATAAATATTTTGTCCATTGCCTTTTGCGGTATTCTCTTTTTTGTTTTATTTGTTATTTTTATTTTGTTTTTGGGAAATAAGTCAGATTCGAATGAGAGCTGCGCAACTATAGACCTACATTTGGAGGCTACGTGAAAATGGTTCGAATCCAGTCAAGTAATCCAGAAACTTAAGTTAAGATTGAGAGATAGGCTTTTTGTTCTCGTCGTCGCCAAACGCATAACTTTACGGTAAATATCAAGCTCTCTCTCTTACACGCCTCCGCTAAGTATTGCCTTTCTATGCGATTTTCATGAATTCAAGTTAGGCTTGTGGAGACAATAATGGAAAGAAAATGGAGACAGGCAGACAAGTAAAGCTACTCAATATTAAAATGCATTAAATATTAAATTATTGGATTACTTTCATGGCGACCCTCTGTGACCGCCATCGACAATCGAATATGACGATTAAACGGAACGAAACAACAACTACAATAACTTCTATATATTGTATTTAATCATATAAGGTGTGTGTACTTATATGAATGAGTCTATATGCGGGTGTGTGTGCGTGTGTGACAACTTATCAGGCAAAGCCAAACACGTTTCATTGTCTTTTTCAATCTTTTGGAGTAATTATTAATTATAGATGCCCGCAATTTATGTATACTCTACATGCTCTAGAAGTTAAAGAATTCCCGAATATATTTGCGTGCTCTAATTTGGGGATATAAAGGGATAATTTTGAAATTTCTCAAAAACTTTTTCGAGCTATCACTTTTTTATATTCTTTGAAAATTTTGCACTTTAGTCGGCATCGTTTGACCAAATCTGGTTAGAGTATTCAGACGTCGGCCTTACAAAATCGGGTTTTCGAATATTTTTGTGGTTTCTCTTTTTGTTGTATTTGGTTTTTATTTTACTTATGCATTTTTTTTTTATTATTTTTTATTATTATTATTGATTTTGATGCGTGAACAAAATTTAAATAGTGACATTTTGGGCCAACAATAAACATTAACAGTAATTTCGGAAATAATAAACGGGTTGCGACTGTTTGTCATAAATCCGAAACTAACAACAACAACAACAAGAAGAAGAACACGTCAAGTACCCAAAGAAATTCTATAAAAGATTTGCTTCAGAGTGGTGGGGGAGGGGGGAGGGGGAGGGTGTCTTTTTCCAGCAAAATAAACTCTATAACAAAAAATGTTTGGCATGATCTCATTATTTTATGGAGCTGGCCAACAAACTTTTTAACTTGGCTCTTAAGCATTCGCGTTGGTGAAATTATTTTTGTTATAATAACGATTATTTTGTTCCATCTCCTGGCAGGCTCAGCACTCGCCCCAAGCCATTTTCACCAGTTTCAAGCTGGAGAAAAATGATCAGTCCACGGTCTGCGGCTTGGCAGCATCCTCTACCGATGTCGCCGAGGAGCGCCTCGCATCCCAGCGAGCCGGTGCCGGCGCTGGTGAACCGAGTGCCACAGATCTCACACCTAGTCGCAGCAGCAGGAAGAGAGCTCGCGCTTGGACCGTGGACCCTCACCGGAGTCTAGCGAGTGTGCGCATCGCGAGTCCGGTCATTGAAAAGACGACAAACACCTTAACGAGGGATCTGCCCGAGAGTCAATCCCCAGTTCAGGTGAGGATCACGCGAATAAATAGCATACGGAAACAGCTGAGGGAATAGCACATGTGCCTACTAAGCACACCAAAAGGTGTTTTGTAGATTATTGACCGACCGATCCAATGATGATCTAGTAATTCCATAAGATTTTGTTTAAATGTTGGGCTTTCAGCTAGGTTAGGATGGCTTTGTCCAATGTCAATGAAATGTTAGAATCTGCGAAATCGGACAACTATATCATTTGGCTTCTATGGGAACAATCGTTCCAGAATCAGTTTTTCTATGGACAACTTTTTTGTTTTTCAAGATATCTTAAGCAAAGATATATCAGTTAAAATTTGCTCCTTATATATCAACAAAATCGTATCCATATCGTGTTACTATGACATATAGCTGCCATAGGAACGATCGGTCGAAAAATGAGATTATCTATAGAAAACTAATTTGTTTTTCAATATATGCTCCTCATATATGTATATGCAAGATCTTATCAATATCGGACAACTATATCATGGAGTTGTCATAGGAATGATCGGGCAAAAATAAGTTTCTTATATGAAGAACTTTTTGTTTTTTTAAATATCCTAACTATTATTCTAACATCTCTGCAAAGCTTTATCAAATCTAACTAACATCTTACATTTGGAATTCATATGTCTGCAAGGGTATTTAATGTGCGGCGTGCCGAAGTTGGCCATTCTTTCTTGATTTCTTTGTTGATTCTAGAGTTCTTTGATTTCAGTTAACGTTCAATGCACCTTGCACACAGACACCTGCATCCAGCAAGCGCCTGGAGCGAGTTTCCGGTACGTAACCCCATATAGATATATATATGCTGAATTATATGATTATCGTGGAATCGTTGGTTTAAGTTGTGCGCGCAGCGGGCACCTTCTATCCGGAGAACGCAAGCTCAGCCCAAACAGCGGAGCCGACAGATGCCACGCCCTCCAGGTACTGCTCGCCCGGCAGCACAGACTGCACCACGGAGCAGCCGGAAGATCTGAGCATGCGCGCCACCCAAACGACGACGTCTTCGGCGGCGGCCGAGCCGGAGTCGGGTCTGAAGCTGCAGATGCAGTTTAAGCAGCTGCTGGATTTATACCAGCGCCAGGTGCTGCTGCCCAGTTTTCTGGCCGCGGCCAGCCAGCCAGCCGGGCTGGACATGCGTCTGCTGCTGGAGAATGCCGCACAGCAGAAGATGCTGCTGATCAATGCGGCGGCAGCTGGCGCCGTCGCTGCTGCAGCAGCCGCCGCCGCGGCAGCAACATCCGGAGCGGCAGGCACAAGCACAGTGGAGGAGATTGCGACCGCACCCGCGCCCAATCCAACTCCGACGGCTGCTCGGCAGACGGGTGGGAAGCGGGCGCGGGAACAGGACATACCCACGGGCTACCTCAAGTTCCGGTTCAACGAGGACTGCGGCTTCGAGCGCTGCGGCTATCGGAATCATCAGTCCCATTTCCACTGCAATCGGCGGGATTGCCACTACAGTTTCTGCGACAAGACGCGCTTCGTGCAGCACACGGCGCGCCATGAGCGCATGGACACCCTCATGGGCGATGACTTTCGCCAATATCGCGCCAATATGCGCTGCGGTGTGCCCGACTGTTGTTATGCCACGTCCACAAGCACGCCGACGTCAGCAAGTGCGGCAGGTAGGTGCGCAGCTTTTGTTGCCGGACTTAAACATATTCCTAATATGTTCCTTGTCTCCTCTCCACCCCCCCTTTTTAGAGGAGAGCCTGGCTCCAAAGAAATCGTCGCATTTCCATTGCCGTAAATGCGATTACGTGTGCACCGACTCCAACAAGGTGGTGGCCCATCGTCGCCTGCACCTGCGGCTGGAGTACGTCCGTTCGGCTGGCTTCCGCAAGTTCGCCAGCAACGAGTCCTGCGAGTCGACCGCCTGCACCTATGCGCTGCGGCACACCCATTACCATTGCACCACCTGTGACTGCAGCGTGCTCTCCCGCGCCCAGCTGGCCTCGCACAGGCATCGGATCAACCAGCCCCCAGCCGCCAGCCAAGCCGGTGGCCAGCTCTCGACTGGATCTGGAGACGTGTCCTAAAGCCACATGCTGAGCAGCAATAGAAGCCATATAAATCCAAATGCAATGTGTAAATTAGATCAAATTAAATGAAGCTAAGTGCCAATCTATACTTCTCATGTGTATCGGAATCGATAAGTAATCGAAATCGAAAAGTGATATCGATCAATTTAATGTGTATGTGTGTTCTTTCAGAAAAAGGGCCTTTTACTAATGCGAGTTCTGATTTTGATAAAAATCTACCTCTCGAAAGATATTTCCTGCGAAACTATATGATAGTCCGATAATGATAATATTTTGGTCATATATAAGGGATATAGAGAAAATAATAGTTGCCGAGTTTGATCGAGATTTCTTGAAACACAAGACAGTTGTTCCACCGATAGTTCCTATGGCAACTATATAATATTGAGGTCCGATGTGGATAGGATATGTAGGAAGCATAGTGAAACTTATAAATGTCCAGTTTGGTCAAGATATGTTGATTAACAAACAAGTTTTGCTTACAAGATCCCACTTTTCAAGCGACGGTTCCTATTGCACCTATATGATATACTGATTCGATCCGGCCGGTTCCAACATATGTACAGCCTGCAACAGAGAGACAAACCAAAATTTTCATGTCGAACGTCTTTACACTGAATAAAACTGTATATCCTGACTGATTGACTGATTGACTGATTGGTGATTAACGCACAGCCCAAACCGTAAGAGCTAGATAGCTAAAATTTTCACTGTAGTCACCTTATGTGATGAAGGTGCACGTTAAGACGGGGTTTCGGGAAATTCCACACGCATGAGTCACAATAAATGAGCTAATAACGAGAAGTAGCCACAGCAAATAAACTCTTTTATTTGCAATCTATCAACAGTTCAATGATTGCCACTTATAGCCTGATCTCTGCCTTTTGTTTAATTATATTGACTTCCTGACCTACTGATAATCGCTTAAAAGTTACCGAAATATTGGGCACCCGAGCTTCCAACTGATTGCCGCCTTTCAGTCTATTCACGAGCGTGCAGTTGAGATTCGCATTTTAATTTAAAATTCTAAGTGCTATCAAAATGAAATGTGTTACGTTTATATATATTCTATTTATAAGCCTAACACTGATCATAGCTGAAGCAGAGTTTAACGAAAATGAGGTAAAATAAGATTGTTTATCAATGTTTGTGTGCAGTACAGAAAATGAATCGTACTTTTTTTATTAGTCTTGTGTGGCAACCAGAATAGCAGAGGAGGAATGTGGAAAGTACACCTATAAGGCAGTGAGACCATTATTAAAGTATATACATCAGATGCAGGAGGAAATTGAAAATAATAATAATAGAATTGAAGGAAAAGATAAAGAAATCAAGCAAGTGCAGGAAAAGCTGAATCAACGTAATGAACTGGTCATCGAGGAACTGAGAGCTCAGAATGAATTCTACAAACAGACTATTAAAGAGCTGACGAAGAACGTTTTATCAATAAAAGAGGAAATGGGTAACATCAATTCCAATGCCTTGAAAATCCAGGACTACGAGGAGCAGCTGGAGAAACAAAGGAAGCTAATTGATCAAAAGGACCAAAAAATATCCGAAATCAAAAACGAAGTCAACATTTGTACCAAGAAACTTAAAAGCTGCGAAGAACAACCTGTTCCCAGTGATTGCGCTCACTTTGGAGGTACTGCGGGTATTCATAAGATTAACCCGGATCAAGAAGATCCGTTCAGTGTACAATGTGATAGTGCCACAGCAGGTCCTGACTGGACGGTTATTCAACAGAGAATCAATGGCAAAGAGGACTTCTATAGGGATTGGGCCGCATACCGTGCCGGCTTTGGAAGCTTTAAAGGCGACTTCTTCTTAGGGCTTGACAAAATTCATCGCTTGACGAGCGCCCAGCCCCATGAACTCTGCGTACATATGGAACGATTTGGTGGCAGCAAAATATACGACAGATATGAACAATTTGCCATCGCTGGCGAGGACGATCAATACAGACTGAACATCTCTGGTAAGGCTGTGGGCAATGCAAGAGGTGATGAGTTGAGTTACCACAACAATCAGAAATTCAGCACATTCGATCGTGATAATGATGCTTGGAATAGTGGCAACTGCGCAAGTAAAGATAAATATGCTGGTGGCTGGTGGTACAACAGCTGTGCAGGATGGTATGAATTGTCGGAAAAGAAATAAATTAAATTTAATTGCTTTGTTTGTTTTTTATAGCAATTTAAATGGCAAATACTATAATTCTATGGAGTTCAAAAAGGATAACAAATTTTGGGATGGCATCATCTCGTTGAAAACAGTTAAAATGCTTATACGACCCAAGAGCTATTGAAATTTGTAATAGTTTTATTTAAAAACATATATGTACATTACTTTGAAATGTACGATATTTTGAACAAACTTCACTATTCACTTTTATATTAAATCAATGGAATCAGCGGGAATCAGCTATGCCCGATAGAAACTATATCAAAGGTCTCCTCGAGGCACGCCCCTTTTCAAATTTTACTCTCTATTAGTGATGTATCTATTATTTTACGAATATGCCTTCTTTTTTATTTCCAAGCAGTTATTATCGTCTAGGAGATGCTTGTGGTTTGTTAGCTGCCTTATTGTTTTTGATTGGGATATGATAGTCTAATAGTTTAGCATGCCAAATGCGCCCAAATATATGCAGACATGTTTGTATATACTAAACTTAAGCAACTTTTGTAAAGACAGGTTGTAAACTGAATTTGTGATTCAAACTAGAAAGTAAGTATAACTTCGGCCGAAGATTTAATACCCTCTGAGACATTTGGCTTACGGTTTTCCATTTTAACGAAAATATCTTGGAAAACAGAATATTTTTCCATACAGTAACCTACTTTTCGACCGATCCTTGCTATTATTGCTAAATAACATAGTAGTCCGATGCTGATAGGATATTGATTATATATGAGGAGCATAGTGAAACTAATAAATGCCGAGTTTGGTCAATATATCTTTTTAAAAAAAAATTTGTTCATACAAGAACCCTATTGTCGACCGATCGTTCCTATGGCAGCTATTTGATATAGTTTTCCGATCCGGCCGATTAAAACTGAGAGACTAGTTCACATAGCAACAGAAAGACTGTCAGACGAAGAGACGGACATTGCTATATCGACTCGACTGTTGATACTGATCAAGAATACATATACATACTTTATGGGATCAGAGATGACTCCTTCGTTAGACATTTCGAGACAAAACTATAATATCCTTAGCAGGGGTATAAAAACATACATATGATTCCTTGATAACTAGTTATAAATTGTCTCAGCATTTGTTTTCGAGACTTTATTGTTCTTTTCGTTGGGAATTATTCATTTCGTGATTTGCCATATCTTGAATCTTTCAGAGTGCGTACTTCGTTGATTTGTGTCTAATATATACGAGCCATGCCTCAATGCTGGATGTACTCGAAAAGCGCAGAAATATGAAATGGAATAGTTCCGAAATGAAACTACACTGAAACCAAACATTAGGCTCATTATGCTGGGAAAAGAAAAGAATGATATACTAAATGGAAATTATTTTAGTTGGTGCACTTACACATATATTCTGTGAATTTTGAGTAGTAATTGTCATCGTGGTAAAAATTGACTATGACCAGGCCCTTGAGAATGATATCCGTTGAGAAATTTCTGAAGTACTCGTTCTTAAACCGAGCACTCTGCTGCTTCTTAAAGGACATTGTGGGTATAGCAAATGGATCCGGAAAATATGTGACATCGTGGCAGCTGGTCAGACTGTGCTCCTTGCACGCCGTACTCCCGCCATCCACGTTCAGGCAGTCAAGGTGCCTCACACGGCATTACAATAGATCATTGTCAGATGATATGGTATGCAGTTGCAGAGCCTCAAGAAATAGATCGCATCGCACTCGGCCTCACAGTTCCTTGGCACAGCCTCTTAGCTATTCGGCACGATCCTTTAGATAATCTCGTGGCGGAGCATTATCGGCAGACCGGATTCCTTAAGACGCGGCTGATCAATCGAGTTGTACAAGGCAAAGCCATTAATTATAATTATTATTATTTTATTTATTATTATTATAAAAGGATTAATATGAAATTTTGCATAAGTCATACCTTGAATCCTTGTCCATTTGTGTATGAGCAATATAATCACAATTTGAGCACAATTTGAAGACCATTGCCCCGACGAGAATAGAAGCCCGCTGGCAGATGCTTTGGATAGCCTTTGGCTGGGGTTCCAGTCCACGGCAATGTCCGTGAGACCTTTGGACGACGTGTAGTCCCGTATAGAAGATGCACTTAAACATTCGAAGATGTCTCTTTTTTATATTTACGGATATGGTTATTAATAAATAGCTTCACCTATGCTTGTATATATGTATAATACGGATGGAGAAAGTTGAACACGCAGCATAGGCCCTCGTCAACGAAGAACTCTCGGAAGATATCGTTGCAGGGCAGGCTCTTCTGTCCGAAAATACACGAGACGATCATCTCTTGTAGCGAGGTTTCGATGATCTATAGTCCGTAAAATAGAAATCCAAAAGTCTTTGGTATTCCAAAGATCCTCTAAAACAAATCATATATCTTAATATACTCACGGTCGAAAGTTCAGTCATACTTCACACGGCTATCGCTGGGAAGGGTATATGCTGTATCGGTGTGTTGGGAGAACTGATACCAATGCCATTTGTTGAACACATTCACGGCCAGGTTTACGGCCAGACATACAACGATATCAAACAGCTTGGCGAAATATAGCTGCACCCAACCTGGCAAATCATTGTCCCACACATACTTCAGGCCCTGCAAAGATGTGCTACGCAGAAATTGCTTGGTTTAACTCTCAAAGCATCTCCACAATCTCTCGAGCAGACGCCGAGCAGATCCTTTTTAATTGGGGGTCTTAGATAGGTGAGTACCGCATTTAAATGTAATTACCAAATTGATTTCCTTTTGTAATTCAGGTTAAAATTAAGATTTCATTAAAGCAGTTGCTCTAATGGCTTTCATCATACATCATTAGGGCACAAGAAAAATATATAGTAAAGGGGATTTTATCCGAATTAGAATACAAGTGAGGGTAATCTAGTCGAGGATGGCCGTCGACAAACGATAGTATAAGTTGAAAAGGGGCGTGCCTCGAGGAGACCTTTGATATAGTTTCTATCGGGCATAGCTGATTCCCGCTGATTCCATTGATTTAATATAAAAGTGAATAGTGAAGTTTGTTCAAAATATCGTACATTTCAAAGTAATGTATATGTTTTTAAATAAAACTTTTCCAATTTTCAATAGATCTTGGGTCGTATAAGCATTTTAACTTTTTCCAACGAGACGGTACCATCCCAATATATGGCATCCATTCTGTCCACAATAGAATTATAGTATTTGCCATTTAAATTGCTAAAAAAAGAGAAGAAAACAATTAAATTTAATTTAAATTTTTTTCCGTCAATTCATACCTTCCTCCACAGCTTTTGTACCACCAGCCACCACCACAATTGTTTTTATTCGTGCAGTTTTCATCATCCCAATTATCATTATCACGATCGAATGTGCTGAATTTCTGTTTGTTGTGGTAATATAACTCTTCACCTGTTGCATTGCCCACAGCCTTATCAGAGATGTTCAGTCTGTATTGATCGTCCTCGCCAGCGATAGCAAATTCTTCATATCTGTAGTATTTGATGATACCATCGAATCCTTCCATATGTATGTACAGCTCATGGGGCTCATGGGGCTGGGCGCTCGTCAAGCGATGAATCCTCTCGAGTCCTAAGAAAAAGTCGCCTTCAAAGCTTCCAAAGCCGGCACGGTATGCGGCCCAATCCCTATAGAAGTCCTCTTTGCCATTGATTCTCTGTTGAATAACCGTCCAGCCAGGACCTGCTGTCGCACTATCACATTGTACATTGAAAGGATCTTCTTGATCCGGGTTAATCACATGAATACCCGGAGCATCAGCAAAGTCGGTGCATTCACTTTTAAGTTTTTTGCTACAAATGTTGACTTCGTTTTTGATTTCGGATATTTGTTGGTCCTTTTGATCAATTAGCTGCTTTTGTTTCCCCAGCTGCTCCTCGTAGTCCTGGATTTTCAAGGCATTGGAATTGAGTTTACCCATTTCCTCTTTTATTGATAAAACGTTCTTCGTCAGCTCTTTAAGTGCCTCGATGATAAATTGATTATGTTGGTTCAGCTTTTCCTGCAGTTGCTTGATTTCTTTATCTTTGCCTTCAATTCTATTGTTATGGTTTTCAATTGCCTCCTTCATCTGATGTATATACTTTAATAATGGTCTCACTGCCTTATGGGTGTACTTTCCACATTCCTCCTCTGCTATTCTGGTTGCCACACAAGACTAATAAAAAAAGTACGATTTATTTTCTGTACCGCACATAAACATTGATAAACAATCTTATTTTACCTCATTTTCGTTAAACTCTGCTTCAGCTATGATCAGTATTAGGCTTATAAATAAAATATATATAAACGTAACAAATTTCATTTTGATAGCACTCTGATTTTAAAATTTAATGCGAATCTCAACTGCACTCAACTGCACGCACGTAAACAGACTGAAATGCGGCAATCATTCGGAAGCTCGGGTGCCCAATATTTCGGTAACTTTTAAGCGATTATCAGTAGGTCAGGAAGTCAATATAAATAAACAAAAGGCATGGGTCAGGCTTTAAGTGACCTTCATTGAACTGTTGATGGATTGCAAATAAAAAAGTTTATTTGCTGTGGCTGCTTCTCGTTATTAGCTCATTTAACGAGACTCAAAACAAGTTTCAAATCGAAACCAAATCGTTTTTATATTTTGCCAAAAATCTTTATGACATGGCTCGAATCAGCTCGTTGTCCCGAACAGGAATATATCTTTACTTTTTGGGATCGTTGATGCTGCCTGTTACATATTTTTGAACAAAAGCAATATACCCATTTTCAGGTTATAAATATAATATGAATTAGCTTAATTGGAAATAAATAACATTAGAATATGAATATGAAAGACGCCCTTGTAGAGGGTAATTTAGTTTTGACATGAAATGTGTAACGCATAGAAAGAGACATCTACGATCCCATGCATATATACCTATACTCTAGATCCGCATCGAGTTGGTATAACCAGGTCCTTATGTTTGTCTTTGAATATTTATATCGGTCCGTCTTTCTGTTGCAGGCACTACATAAGTCGGATCTGCCTGAACCGGACCACTAAATTATATAGTGTATTATATCGGCTGAGTAAGCTATCCCAAAAAAGAACAAATAAACATAAATTATATATATGTATACAAACGGATATTGCCCGGCCTTGTCCGCGGAACGTTTTCTGCTCAAATTTTTTTTAGATATTTTCTTTACAATAAATACACGCCCGAGGAAGCTTGGATTCTGCGAAAAGTGTGCAACATGTGGCAAATGATTTTTCGTATAGATATTTTGAAATGAATTTGAACACGAAACGTCGCCCGCCAAATCATTGACCCCCATTTCCACCGAGGATGAATGCATTTTTCGAAAAGTGTGAAACAGCCCTCAAATGGATTTTGAACAAAGATCTCTGAAAATGAGTTTGAGGCCGATCGGATGGTAAACAAAAAAGTTGTATACAAATGTTTTTCGCGATTTTTCCACCCATACAGCTGGAATTTCCCGAAAACCCCGTCTTAACGTGCACCTTTATCACATAAGGTAACTACAGTCAGATTCCTAGCTCTTACGGCTTGGACTGTGCGTTGATCACCAATCAGTCAGTCAGTCAGGAAAAACAGCTGTATATATAGAGACTTGGGGTTGAGCCGTTTTCCCCTGTTCTCTATTTAATTAAAAACAGCGAATATCCCTTTCAAGGCAATCGAAACACACATACTCATCAGCACAAAGGCCGCAAGCTGCATACCCTAGACAAAGGCATTTTCTGGTTTACCCTATAAATATTTCTTGAATAAATGTATATTTTATTATTCTGGGCAAAAAATGGCGTTTGAATGTGTGCATAGACCAAAAATCAACTTGGTTCCTTTCAACTTTTCTTGTTGTCATTCTTGAGACATTTAAAATGTTCTTAATATGCGAATATGGATTGTTTCTTTCTCTGAAATGCGTTTAAGCACCATATCTTAAACTCAACTCGTATATATACGTACATACATACGCTATAAGGATATATTCCGATATACACGTTTTTAAAATTGCATTTATTTAGACATACATCTTGAATGTGTGTATATATATATATATTTATATTTATATATGGTATGTTTAGAGTGTGTGTGTGTGTGTTTTTTTTTTTTGCCTCCGATTGCATATTGCCACTTTGCCGAACTTACAGAACTAATAAAAAACGGAATACATGGGTTGGCCGTTGCTCGGCTCGGACTAATGGTTAGCGGGCTGATAAGGTATTTCTATATAAATATCTATAAAGCTCGGAACTGTACAAGGCAAAATTGATAAAAATTTATGTAGGGTTGGGGCAGGGTGGGAGAGAGGAGGGTCGGGGCGGGGCGGGAGGGGAGCATATAAAAAATACTTGTAAACTGTACTGGGCCTGGCGTAGGGCAGCCGGAATGCATGAAAATTAAGTGAAGCGCCCTTTAACGACCGTTCCAGTAGCCGACGCGTCCATTCTCAAAGGCCAGATTGATGCGCGGATGTGGTAAGGCCCTGGCCGGTTGCAGTGGCTCGTGCAGCTGGGCAGGCGTCGACGGATCATCCTCAAAGTACAAGCACTGACGCACAAACTCGAGGAACAGCTGCTGGGCCTGCTGGGCGCAAGCGGGCAGTGCCTGCAGATTGGCATCGCTGCTAAGCTGGCGCACCAGTTGCTCGCAGATGCGCGTATTTGTGTCCACATCGAAGAGCGGCACACCAAAGTTAACGTCCAACAGCGTCCACTCCTCGGTGCTGGGCTCCTGCTCCGGCTCCGCAGACGTATCGCCAATGGGCAGCTCCACGGAGCTCTGGGAGAGCAGCTCGGCGCGAGTGCAGTTGTCGCTGCATTTGGCCAGCTCGCTGGCCAGCAGCTGGTTGCAGTCCGCCGAGGTGTAGTCGTTTGCTGGGCCGTGCTCCGGCGTTGTTGCAAAATGATTCTCATCGGGACTCTTCAGCTGAAAGCTGGTCAGCTGATCGTTTGGCACATTTGACTTGGTCGCGGGCAGCGATGGGCGTTTGCGCTGCGGCAGCTTCAGCTTCACGTGCAACTCATACTCGTCGCAGCCCAGATCGGGCACGCCCGTATTCAGGAATGTTATGTAGCCACATTGCTGGCGCAGATCCAAATGGGTGGCCAGCTTTTGCACGGCACGATGCGTGCCCCATTTGGCCTGGCCGGCATCCGAGGCCTGGAATGGAAATGATTCATAGTGCAGCTGGCCAGCGGTACTTATGCCATAGCCCTGCAGCAGGACGCATCCGTTCTTGAGCTGCTCGTTCAGGTTGCGAAAGTTCTCCGTGTTGAGCACATATGCGTCCGAATGGAGTATGTTCACCAGCAGCTTGCCATAGCCCAAAAAGAGACGTGGCAGCGACTTGAGCACAGTGCCGCGGCACAACAGCAAGCTGGGCGGCCCATAGCCTGGCAATGAGTTGGATATTAGTTTCAATGAGTCTAGCTAGGAGGCAGGTAACTCACCCGTGATATGGTTGTAGAATAGCTTGCTCCACATCGGCAACGCATCGGAGCTGCGCACAAACTGGCCAAAGAACGGAATGCTGAACATGTGACTCAATGTGGCCGTCAGCGGCGTTGCCGAGATAATAAACTTGTACTTCTTATCGAGCACACGGTCGCGCGTCTGCCAGTCGAGGCCCTCCAGGCATTCCAGTCGCAGCAGGTCGAGTCCGCCGGGCAGCAACGGACGCAGCGAACAGATGGTGGAGCGCAATATTACTGCGTGCGCAAAATAGCGAGAGACATCGCCCTCGCCCTCAGCATCCAGCAGCGAGACCTGCTCCAGTTCAGCCAGAAAGCTGTCGAGACTCTCCTCGCACAGTTTTCCCACCTCGAACATGGTGACGGCATGGTTTTTCAGGCCCGGCGACAGATTGCCCATCATCAAGAATGCTGTAAGTGTTGAGTCGAATAAAAAGCCGACACGCTTGCCACTCTTGGCAGCTGCGGCTGCGGATGCGGCTGATGTTGCCTTTGTGGTGGTCGTGCGCTCGCTAACATCCTCCAGCTCGGAGCTAAGCTCCTGTTCATCGCTGTTGTTGCCGTTGTGTGTGGCTGCTGGGGGCGTAACCATGTTGGCAAAGCTAAAGTCACTGGTATTGCCATCCGAGGAGAGATAGCCAATGGAGCTGCTGTCTTTGTCCTTGTCCTTGTCTTGCTTTGGCGTCTTGGGACTTGACTGTGACTGCTGCTGCTGCGGCTGCTCAAAGTCAAAGCTGCTGCTGGCATACACATTGTAGTTGAGCGGCGTAATCTGCGGCGTTTGCGGCAGCTGCTGCTCATTGTAGCATGCCCAGCTAGCGTGATACTGTCCAGTTTCGTGATCCGTATGCTTGCGCTGGGCAAAGCCGAGGCGGCATATAAAGCTGATCGCCTGCTTGACACCATCCAGCTCCAGTTGCAGCATTTGCGCCAGCTCTGCAATGCTCATGTGCTCATCGGCACTCACGAAAATCTTGTACAGCAAATTCTCAAAATAATCGCCGCTGACGCGATTCATGACAAAGTTGCGCAACGGCGGTATACAAATGCGATCCTCGCCGCTAATGGGCACATCCAGATAGATGAGACCCTTGCGATATAGGCTCTGCACCACCTGATAGTCACATTTGCCCGTTGGCTGTGCGCCAAAGTCAATGAGATCGTCCAGCAGGCTGCGCTCTGCGGGCGTCACCGTTCGTATATCCGTCTCCAGCACATAGCCAATGTCCAGACGCCACCAGGGCTCAATGTGCACATGCACCGGCAGGCGCGGCAAAAAGTCCAGCGGATTGGGTTTGGCACTAAACAGCAGCGTGCGCGGCGTATGGGTCTTCAGTTCGCTAATCAGCGCCAGATATTCGTTGCGTCCAATGCCGAGGACACGCAGGCAATCCGCCGCCGTAAAATTGGGCAGCGTATCGTAGCTCTTGTCGTTGCGCAGCAGCTGGCTGAGCACGTCCAGATAATAGTTGAAGGGCGTAACGCGCAATCCCTTGGTGACTATGTCCGCCAGATGGTAGGGAAAGACGCCCAGGCTGTTGATGTTCTTCTGGATGAGCAGCTCATAGTAGCGCTGCTCCTGGCGGAACACCTTCGATGCCAGATTGCCGCGGAAGCGCAGCTGATTCTTCAGGCTGTAGTTGAAGACGTACTTCTCGTAGTCGCGCTGATTGTTGTGCAGCACCGAGCGCAGATGCACCGGCAGCTCCTGCCATGGCACATTCCCACGCACGCACAGCTGCAGCTGCAACTGACAGTTGCCAGTCTCCGTCGTCGACGTCGACGTCATCGTGTCCCGTCGCAGTTGTTGTTTGTTTACCTGTCGCAGTGCTCACTTTAGTTGTTTTTGTTGTTGCCTTTTGCTGCTTTTGGCCATTGCATATGCTGTTTGTATTGC